AGGTAATGTTCTCCTTTTTAATTTAACTGGTGCATTTTAAGTGTATTTATGTATTTATTTATTTTTTGATACATTTATATTTTTCTATATTTTTAATTATGTCTGTTTCGGTCCTCTATTGCAATCAACTTTTCTGAGTTTAGACAACACAACCAACCAACCTAGTTAGCAATTATGCATTAATTAAAAAGTTGAACCATTCTCTGTTTTAGAACTGTTATCTGTGGCAAACATTTTAGCCATAAAAAGAAAATATTTTGCATGTTTTAAAAATATACTTTTGTGGCAGCTGCTTGTCTAAAAAAAGATTTCCTCAAAGTTTTTTGTTGCACAAGATGCATGATAACTATATGAGTGACTGAATCACACGAACGGTCTCACTGCACTCCACAACCCGACCTGCAAACATCAGCCTAATAAAAACAACATGGACCTGGGAAAAGTGATTTACACAGGGATGGAGGTTCTCATTGCTGTTTTCTGCTGTCTGGGTAACATGTTGGTGATTCTTTCTCTGTGGAAAACCAAAAGCTTTCAGCAGCCCACCTTCTGCCTCATTGTGTCTCTGGCTGTGGCTGACTTCATGGTTGGATCAGTGGCCATCCCRCTGGCTGTGCTGGTGGATGGGCACATAAAAAATACATTCCAAATGTGTCTCTTCATCAGCTGTGTGATCATACTGTTGACTCTAGTTTCAGTCCTCTGCCTGCTGGCTATTGCTGTGGACCGTTATCTGCGGGTCTATACCCCCCACTGGTAAGACATTTTAAAACTTTTAACTGAGTTGATGTAACACAAAACATGACTTTGGTTCAAAATTGGTCTTTTATGGAAGTCACCTTTAAAATGTCATTTCACTGTTTGATTTTTTTTTTTACCAAAATCCTATCAATTGTTTTTCATAGGTACAAAAGGACTATAACATGGAGACAYTCTTACTTTGCGGTGGCTGTGTGTTGGCTCGTTGCMGTTCTACTCAGTTTAATTCCCCTGTTTGGATGGCAYGAARWSCCATCTGAGCACAAAAATGCTACGGTTCACTGCCATTTTGCCAAAGTGATTCCCATGTCCTACCTGGTTTACTTTAACTTTGTTCTGTGTACTTTRAYGCCRTTGTTGGTGATGACTKCATTGTACTGCTATGTCTTCTGTATCATTCGCAAAAAACTCCGAGAGAAACCAGGCAGCGGTGCCCAAAACCAGTCGCAGAAATACCTGAGGAAAGAGAAGCASCTGGCARCATCTCTGTCTCTGGTCTTGGCYCTGTTTGCCTTGTCCTGGCTCCCCCTTCACATCATGAACTGTGTTGAATACTCCCGGCCACRAAGTGTRAAAGCCATCGCTTTCCATGCTGGCATTSTGCTKTCTCATGCAAATTCTGCMRTCAACCCARTTTTGTATGCCTTTAAAATAGAAAAAATTCGGACAGCTTATTTAAGATTCTGGAAACACATTAWATGTGAAGCAGAAAACCAAGCGTCTGAAACAAGAAGGATGGATGACAATCCAAACACTAACATGAGCAGTGAGACCAGAAATGACTGATTTATTTGTGGAATTTTTTTTCTTCTTCCATGCTCATCTCTTGATTTGTTGCTTTATGCTTCAGCTTTCTGTTCCAACAGATATGTGKCCTGTTTGTGTGTGGGTGATCATRCACACTTGTTCAAGTTTGTGTTCCAGAGGAAGTTGCTTCTATATATTACACCGAAAGTTTCATTTCACAGTTTACAGTCAAAGTTTCTGTTCATACTTTTAGAACTGGAAATGCATCTTGTAGACTAAACCACTTTTTTAAATCTTGTAAACATCTTTTATTCAGCACACCAAACCAGGTCTGTGGTGGTAATTTTACGTAAAATGGAGCGTAACAGAATGAAATAGACACTTCTTTGACTGTTTAAACTTTGTCTTATATTTGACTGATTCCCATGAGCAGCTGACACACGTCACAAATTTAACCACTTTTGCAATCTAACACCACCACAACCACAGCAATCTTCAAAGACATGATCCCTGTAGTCACATGTTGTAACACGAATGTTTTAAAGTTGCTTGAAAATGTTTCAGATTTTTTTTGGCACTGTTTCCAAAATCATTAAACAATCACATGGACTAATAAA